CACAAACAGGGTAGACAATAAAGCAGAAATGACCACCTGAGGATGTCCGCCGGCATTTGCATGTGTGTGTGTGTTTGCACTCACTTACACAAATAAAAACTGACAAAAATGTATACACTTTTGGCACACAAAGTTGCATTCTGACACATGCATATACTGCAGAATGTCTAAATCAAGCTAATCCGTGCGTCACCTCATATATCTCTCTCCTTCACAGTTACAACAGTTGAAATCTCAGTTGTTTTTAATCCCATTCTTTCCCGACCGCCATCCAACTTCTCTTTCTGCAGTCTACTTCAAGAAAAAGTTCATTTCTCTCAAGGATTCTTTAAACGCAAAATATAGACAAAAAATAAATATGTGGGAAAAATAAGGGGAATAATACTGAAATACTTTATCACATATGATTCTTTGAAAGAAAAAAATAAGTAAAAACCTGTGGTTTAAACATTTTAAAACTGGCACCTTATAAAGGAATAAAGTTCAATAACATAATATTTGATAAGGGCGGAACTTTTGAGTCACACAGCTTGAACCAAACTTGAGTCACTGTTTATCAAGAATATGGTCAAATGTCACGTCTAGTTATAAGGTGTATGACGAAGTCAGTGGGTAATCACAGGGGTGATATTTGTAGCTACTTGCCAACTATCATCCTCAGGATTTGAACTCTGGTCAAGACGAATCTGCTAAACCATCACCCTTTTCCTCAGAGTGGGTACAAAAACGTAATGGAATCATTTGAAGTGGAATCATATAAGCCTGTCAGACCTGTCAACTCTGGAAACTGAAGGCAAGAAGAGCAACCAGTTGAGGGGTTCAAGATGAGCCTGGGCAACATTGTGAGCACTCACCTCACGGAAGGAAGGAAGGAAGGAAGGAAGGAAGGAAGGAAGGAAGGAAGGAAGGAAGGAAGGAAGGAAGGAAAGAAGGAAGGAAGGAAGGAAGGAGTGAAAATGGAAACATTAGCTGCTCTTCCAGAGTATCTGAGTCTGATTCCCAGCACCCACATCATGATTCACAACTGTCTATAACTTCAGTCCCAGACCCCGACTTCAGTTCTAACACCATCTTCTGGCCTCTGCAGGCACTGCACACATCTGCTGCAGACAGATACATGTAGGCAAACACTAATATGGACAAAATAAAATTTAAATCTGGTTCAACTCAATATGGTAATGGAATGCTGTGATTCCAAAACTCAGGAAACTGAAGCAGCTGGATTTCAAGTTCAAGGCCAGTCTGGGCTGCATAGCAAGACCTTGTCTCAAAATACAAGGAAACAACATCAACCACAACAACAACAACAACAACAAAAACCCACAAGATAAAACTATCTAATTCAATTTATAAGCAATCTTCTATACCACCAACTAAAGAGACCAGTGTCAAGAGACATGCATAGTTTTACTGGAACAGGGATGCACATGTAAAACAAAAGAGTGTGTGCCACGTGCCAACAATCCTGGAACTGTAGCGGTAGAGACAGGAAGACAGAGAGCTCAAGGCCAGTCTGGGCTGCAAAAGACTCTGCAGTAAACAAACTAATACACAGGAATGCCTGCAGAAAAAATGTACCAGATCAGTAAGAATAGAAATCAGAAACTCTTATCTTTAGTTAAACAGGTTATATTAGAAAACCATTATTAGTAAAACAAGTTTAGGTCAACTCCTGAAATGACTCACAACTATTAAACCAATTGAATACCTCCTCAGATAGATAGAAAAAAGTCAGGAGGACCAGCCTGGAGGAGCAGGACTCTCTCGCTGGGCCTGGGAAAGCACTGAGCCAACTTCAAACCCTTCAAACAGGGCACTGCCATAGCAGCTTCTGAGGGCAGGCATCTAGCAGCTGTAGACTGGTCTGGAGTATCCTCTTTGGGGAACAGAAGTGGATCGTGAGCAAAAGCAGTACTCTCCTGTCTCTTCAAGCATCTTTTGCTTCCAAAATCCCCATTTGACAGCTGATACATGTGTGTGCGCACGTGTGCATGTGTGTGTGTGTGTGTGTGTGTGTGTGTTGGCTTGCCTATAACCAACTGAACTAACTTTTGAGTGTTACTTCTCTCCTTCCACTATGGCTCCAGGGTGTGAACTCAGGTGGTCAGACTTGCATGGCAAGCACTTTTACCCACTGAGCCACCTCACCAGTCCTGGGAATTCATTTAATGTGAAATAAAACAGCTTCTTCCACAACGAAAAGGGTAGCAACTGTGTGTTAGTTAGGGTAACACACTCTTGTCACAAAGCGTTCTGGAGCGACAGCAGGTTTATACATTCAAGGGCAGAAGGCCAAATTCAGAAGGCAGGGTCCCAGTGTGTCCAACCAAGGGCAGGCCCACAAGACTGCCAAGGGCAGGCCCTCAAGGCCGCATTCTTCCCAGAAAATCTGTGAATGCAGACTTGTGTTTTTTCCAATCCCAATATCAAAATTCTGGGCATTCCTGGTGCCCTCCAGGACTTTACACCCTCAACACACCCTCAGGGACATATGACAGAAAAGACCTAGAGAGGGTTAAGAAGAAACAATGATCTTCACAAAGTTAAATCGAAGAATCCCAAGAAAGTATGTAATATCACCAATGAAATAAAGTACGTGTCAGGAAACATTTTTAACTTGTGAAACACCAAAGGGTCACCTGCCAGCAAAGCATGAGTCAGCCGGGCACAGCACACTGGGGAAAGGGATGGCCTCTCTGAGGACTGAGGCGGCATCAGGCTCCATAGAGCTCACTCAACCATGATTTCAAACCAGATAAAAGGGTGTTCCCATTTGTGTAGACATGGCTCAAAGAACCGGTAAGAAGCAGAATTTCCACAAACCGCATAGATAATCATTGCCATAGTAGTCACAATATCGGATTAATTGATAAAGGGCACAAATATACTTTCTTTATTCTGGGAAAATAACACACGTGGTGCATAAATATTTGAGCACCAGGTATGGCTAAAACCAAAGGGACTTGGAAGGCATTAATTTCAAGACATCTAAGAGAAATCCTTGCTCGTAAGACAGTGTTCCAAGTATAGATCAGACGCTGAGCGCTGAGTCTGCTTCAGGCTCACACAAACCGTCCTCACGTAGTCCTGCACCCCACCTGTGCAAGGACAGCACCTCTGGGAAAGACCTCAGGGCTACCAAACCACCCAGAGGCCTCCCCAGTCAATGTCAGTGCCCTCGCCTGAGGCCAAAGCGCCAGGAGCACTTCAAGAGCTGAAGCTTTCCCTGGGAAAGGCAATGGTTATGCTGTGTAGTAATTCACTTGGTTCTCAGTATGAGAAAGTCTGGCTTGAGAAACTTTTTAAGTGGTAATAGTGGAAGGGGGAGTTATGGGAGAGAAAAGAGGAAAGTATCCTGTTGGGAGGGGTGTGGGAAAGGAGGCGGAATCCAGATGCTGACATCCGTCAAAAGTTTGATTGAACTGAGACCTGAACTCTCTCCAATGGCCACACCACACACGATGCAGGCAAAAACGGCACTCAGAAAATTCTAGGACTGTAAAATCCGCTGCTACCGTATTGTGTCCAAACAGCTTACCCATGACCAAACTTCAGGAGTATATTTTTAAAAAGTCAACTCAATTACTGAAGTGTCACAGTTGTATGAAATTATTTTTCTAAAATATTACTAAATTCGCCAGCTTCAGGTTAATTCCCAAAACCATGCTCTTAATTCCACTCCTCCCCAGGAGTTTTTGTTTGTTCATTTGTTTGTTTGGAGAAAGGATCTCACTCTCTCCCCTGGCTGCCCTGGGATTTCATTCTTAATTCAGGCTAGCCTCAAACTCCTTGCCTCCCTCCTGCCTCAGCCTCGCCAGTGCAAGCACCACACGCGTGTACGCCTACCTCTCTAGGACTTTTAAAAAAAAAAGAAAGAAAAAAAGAAAGAAAAAAATTAATAAAAACAAAACACAACACAACCAGTCACCGAAACATTGACAACAACAAACAAAAATGAACGTTCCCAACAACTTTTCGGCTACAAGTTACAAAAGTTGATTCCGAAGGGTTGTCTGGGGATCTTTCCCTTCCCGGGACTGCCAGGGAAGTAAATAGGAACCACTCAGAACAGACTTTGTTGGCCACCAGCAGGGGAGCCCTTCAGCTTTTGTCCCCTATCCATTCAAACAAAAGAAGTTCGGTCTGGGTTTCCCAACCAGGGTCCCGCACCCCGCGGGGCCCTGCACACCCCGGGCCCGCCACTCACTCCTCAGCGCCCCGATGAGCAGAGAGCCATCCTTCAGCAGCTCTTTGATGAACTTGTTGGTTCTCTCCAGCTCGATCTCGTGACACTGAAGTCGTTCCCTGAAATCCGGACTGTCCAAGTATGAGTCGCTGAACTCCAGAGTGGGCAGCCCCATGGCCCAGGCGCGGTGGCCGCGGAAGCGGCGGGTGCAGGGGACACTACGAACGCGGGGGAGCGCGGGGAAGCGCGGAGGACCGGGCCCCGCGCGCCGGACTCAGTGCAGCTACCCCGAGGCCGGGCGCAGGCTCAGGGCGCTGTCAGCGGGGTGCATCGTCGCTCGGTCGCAGCGTGGGGGTAGCGAGGCTGCTGGCTGCGCCGCAGAGCAC